TAGAATAGAATAGAATAGAATAGAATAGAATAGAATAGAATAGAATAATAGAGAAGAAGAAATAGAATAGAATATACAGGATAGAAATAATAGAATAGAACAGGAGAATGGAATGGAATAGAGTAGAATAAAATAGAATAAAATATAGTAGAGTAGAGTAGAACAGAACAGAACAGAACAGAGTTGGAAAGGACCTTGGAAGTCTTCTAGAGAATGGAATGGAATATACTGTAGAATAGAAGACGAGAAGAGTTGAGTTGGAAGAGACCTTGGAGGTCACCTAGTCCAACCCCTCCCCCACCCAAGTAGATCCTACATCATTTCTGACAGATGGCAATCCAGTCTCTTCTTGAAAGCTTCCAGGGATGAAGCTTTGACAATTTCCAAAGGCAACTTCTGTTCCATTGGTTGATTGTTCTCCCTGTCAGAAAATTCCTCCTTATTTCCAGGTTGAATCTCTCCTTGATCAGTTTCCATCCATTATTCCTTGTCTGGTCTTCGGATGCTTTAGAAAATAGCTTGTCCCCTTCCTCCTCTCTGGGGCAGCCCCTCAAATATTGGAAGATGCTCTCCTGTCTCCCCTGGTCCTTCTCTTCCCTAGACTAGCCAAGCCCAGTTCCTCCAACTGTTCTTCATATTTTTTCATAAGAGGAAAAGAAACAGTCTAGACCACGGTCAGATCAAAGATCTCTCAGCCCTAATTTGAATTTCTAACTTGGAAATCCTTATTGGGGGGAGCCCGGGTGATCCACCCAGGCCAAGAGGTAAATTAGTTTTGACCTTGTCTCGAAGCCCCCCACCCCACCCCCCCGAAATCCTCTAGAGAAGGTTGAACCTCTTACTCAAACAGGCAATGCTGAGACCGAATCCTGAAAGCGCCATGCCGGTCAGGAAGCGGAAGAAACAATAGGAGGCGTAATTGGGTGAGAAAGCAGCGCAGACTCCCGTCACGGCCATTTGGAAAAAGGACCAGATTACGAGTGCTCGGCGGCCAAATCTGCAGGAGGAACAAAGAGACCATCATCCACTGCCCTGCTGCTGATAAGCCTGGCAGGCATGAAAGAAAATGGGAGT